CCTGCTGAGCTTTTCTACAAAAGGAGCCCTGAGGAGAACATATAGTTAATCCTTCTGTGAAAAAGCAACTGATTAATCAGTTATAATTACTGATGCACTTATGCTCACTGTTGTTTGCTTCAGTTTTTTGTGCTTATAGTTCTAATTTATTGCTCACTTCTTGTTAAATTAAATTTAATTGCTCAGCTGAAAGCTAAGCAAACCACTGAAAAATCTTTTGTCAGTGAAAAATGCTCATACAGAAATTTGCTTGGGTGAACAACTATCTTAGACAAGCTTTAGTGTTTATTGGCTTTAGAAGTTGATCTTGGGAGAGTTTTCTCAAATGCAAACTGTTTTAAGTGGGCAACAGCTTCAAAATGTGAGTGCAGCAGCATACATTAAAGGTTCAAAGAGCTAGATAACTATCTGTGGTTTTAAAAATAGGGACCGCAGGAGCTCTTTGTAGAATGATCTTTTAAAATGAGGACAGTCTTTGTGGTTAGAAAATGATTATTTCAAACTGATGGTGTGCTATTGAATGACTAATGGAGGTATACACAGGCAGGCAGGCTAGAAGACTAAGCTGCTAACTTTTGTGATCCTGTATGCAAAGCGACAAGATTTTTAGAACGGACAACTCATATTTGTACTTATGGAATCAGTGTACCATTATCCTAACAGCCCCACTGTGCATTTGTTGATTCTTATGTACAAGAGGCCAGTGCCTCTCTTAGAAATGTCAAGCACTGTACATGTAGTAAAACAACAGAGAGAATAAAGTTGTAATTTTACCCTGGGCACTTTTCCTTAAATCATCCCTTCACTTTAATAGGGAACTGTTGCGATTTTCAGTGCAGTAAATCTGTAAGAGGCACATCAAGGCATGTCTTTTGTGAATGACTGCCTTAGGAGCTACTTGATAGAAGCAATGTAAAATAATACTTACTTCCTGTTTTGCAAACTTTGTGGGCAAATGAAGCCATTCGTGAGCTGCTCTTCTGGTAATGGCTGGATCAAGTATTCTGATCTGGTTTGCTTTGTATATCATTCTCATTGCTGGTTTCTTCCAAAAGGCATTAGTTCTCTGTTGAGTACACAGCTTTCCATTAAAATTATGAAGCTGAAATAACTTGAGGACATACTGCAGTTGGGAGCTAAAGTCTTTGTCTCTCATGCACACACACATCTACCCACTCATTAGAAGAGACTTTGCAAAGGAAAGAAAGCTCACAAAATAAAATGCACTGAATCAAAGTCTTTATTCTGTGCTCATCTTTCATTGGGACCAGCACAGCAACAAGACAGAGAACTGAAACACATTCTGATGATTTTCCCAAAGGAAAATTAATCCAATCAGCAATTCACTGAATGTGAAAAAACCAATTAATGCTTTTTAATGGTCATGTTATAGGAAAGTGGCAGAACAAAGCTGTCTAGAAATGCAAGGCAATGTCCTAGAAAGAGGTGAAAACACCTTAGAACTGCGTAGAAACATAAGGACTGTTTTATACGCACATACTTAGGGGAAAGCTCCTTAAATCTAAACATAAATGCCCCAGAGTCAACCAAAGACATCCTGTATTACTGTGATAGAATTATAGTGATCTAGCACATCTGAGGTAACTTCCCCACCTATTTATCTAAGGGAGGAATTATCACAGAGCTACAGTCTTAACTGATACGGAGATAACCAAGCTGACCTTATCAGGCCCTAATATTGTTATCTGGAAGGAAAACATGCTCCTGTTTGCTCATGTTCTTGGTTCAAAGCAGGAAGGAAATCAGTTCAGTGGTTTACTAATTAACCCATTTGTTCAGCTTGATGAAAAGCTGATGCATATAACCCAACTCCCTCCCCCAAAACTGAATATGAAAGTGCCAAGTGGGCAGGGGCAAGCATGGCATGTCCCACTGGCCTCAGTGTCAAGTAATAGTGTGTGGCTGGCCGAGGGTGTCAGAGCGACTGCTGCACTCTGCTGTACCTCCAGCTCCTGCTGCTGCATCCCAGCACCAGGATCGAGGCAGCCAGTGGCAGTGCCTGCAGCAGGATCACCTTCCTACCCAAACAAAGGGGTGGGGAGGGGTGGTTTGATGACAGCTGACACAGAATGGGTTGGTAGAGACAGCTTTATGGCATCCATTCATTTGCCCAGATTGGAGCAGCAGGTCATGGGCAGATTGCCGCATTAAAACCAGGGCTGCACGCCATTTGCCATCTGCTCTGTACAACAGAGGTAAGAATTTTGATTCCTATCAGCTTCAAGCGGGCAAAAGAGAGTGTGTGCAGGAAAAGCGCTCCCAGAATTCAAGATAACATTTCACTGCAAACAGCATCTGAGGTTCAAAACAATGCGACCAGGGGTATGGGAGAACAAGAACATATTATAACTGTGAGCGTATGCACAAATGCATAAAGGAGCCAGACCCAGAAGAGAACAGCATCATTTGAGACAGTGGGTGTACAGTGGAGGATTATCTGGAGAAAGATTCTGCTCCAAAGCTATTTCTATCAATAAGTTTTGTTCTTGCAGTAATGTCCAAGGGAGAAAAGAGCAAGAGTCCAGTAGCACCGTGAAGACTAACAAAATTTGTGGCAGGGTATGAGCCTTCGTGAGTCGCTGCTCACGTCTTCAGATATCTTTTCTGCTGCTACAGACAAACACAGCTACCCATCTTGATCTTTGTCCAAGAGAGAGAGCGGAGATCAGCATACTGCAAAGGCTTTGAGGGATCAAACCACCTATTCCACTACCCTTGCTTTCAGGGCCACTGTGCCACAAACTGTGGCATCCACAATTTCTATTTTCTCCAAATATGCTCTTCCAAGCTCTGCTACAAAATCATGCAGAACATGTGTGTGGAAAAACATGTGATCTCTCTCTTCTGAGATATACAAATATTCACATACAAAACTAATTTCTTGAATGCTGCTTTCCACTCCTTCATCTTTTGCACCACAAGAACAAATCATGTTCATTGCATATCAGATATTGTAACCAGGGTGGCAGCCGGCAACACTACTACAGGATAGTTCTGGGATGCTAAAGAAGTGAAGGATGGAAAAACAGCAAATGATACTATTGTTCTTATGGCCCATCAAAGTTACTGGTATTATAAACTGTAGCTGTATTGCAAGAAAGAGACAAATTTGCCTGTCCAAATAAAAGGAGCTGGGGAAACAGTATCTCATGTCAGTCTTTAAAATACTGGATGATGATACAGTGTATTTTCCTTACACATGGTGCTTAAAATAAAAACTCCATGCTAAAAAATCTGGCTTCTATAATTAGGCAAATGTGCATGTATTTGGTTGTTTGGCACTGTTCACTCTACTGTTAGTCATATGCAAAGGAAAACCAATGTAAGATAGCTTGCACAGTGGAATACCATATTGAACTATTTATTTATTTATTATTTATTATTAAATTTATACCCTGCCCTCCCCAATGGGCTCAGGGCGGCTAACAAATAAGGCACATATGCCAAGCTAAACAGATAAAAGCAGGATAAAACAACAATAAAACAATCATTCATATAATTCACTATATCCTTCTTTGCTTTTCTTTCATTAAGAACCACTCCCCCACAGCAGTTTTCTCACTGTCTCAATGCATATGACTCACATAGACCTGAAGGTTAGCTCTACATGACCTGCCAGTCAGTTTCCATCTCATTTGTTACATTTCATACTCCTAAATAGTGCCAAGAAATTGGTGTACAGTACTGTAGGTGACTACGGTAAGCAAAAGCAAGATAAATGAAACCAACTCACAATTAAACGCTGACCACTTAACAGATCCCAAAGCCATTTTAAGTCATGAGGCTTGAAGACAACCAGAACTGCGGTTGTGTTAGGATCGTAGTGTACTGGATCTGAAAAAACAGATTCAGGATAAAAAAGCCGGAATGTTGTCCTCCTTCCAACATCTTCTTCATAGCCAATAACAGGGCCATTATTCATTCTGGTGAAACAAAGATACATATTTTTAAAGAAGCTGGTTATAATAATGATAAATCTCATTTTGCTGCAATACAACTTGGTTTAACAAACTACAGTGCATGCCTCTACAAGGAATTATAGCTATAAAACTAATAAACCACATCACAATTTGCCCTTCTGTGGTTGATTTAAATATTGCTTGCACGGTTACTTCCATTCAGCAAAACACAAGTAATGTGCTTTAATTCTTATTCCACCCTCTGCTTTATTAAAAGGGAGGATGACACACAAACAAGGGATTTCTGATGAGATTATCCAGCACACATCCCACTTGGAAACTGTTCCTACATGCTTTAAGTACAGGAGAACACTCTCTATAAGAAAGAACAAGTCCTGCAAAATCACATGAGACGATCCCCAAAGTTCTCCTTTTCTTCCTCAAGGAAAAAGCAATCATTCATTTTATAGTACATGATAAGACACTCACAAAAAATGAAGACAGCTTTCGATCTGATACTAACACTTAAATAAACAGTTCCAAAATAAGGATGTGTGCTTCATTCTCTTCCTACTTTAACTCCTTAGCGTGTCTCAACAAGAACAGAATAGGGATTAAAGCATTGCAAGGCTTGCAGCACTAAGTCACTGTTTGGGAGATCATGATGAACAGATTATACGCAGCTTCATGAAGAATAAATGGAGGGTGGGCAGAGTACTGAGAAACTTCACTGTGCTCTAACTCATGCCCAGCAAGATGGTGGTAGAAGCAGAGATACTTTGAGCACAGCCAGGACTGCTAATCCAGCCCTATTAACCCCCCCCGCCCCAAGTCTTGCCATGACCACCTGAAGAAGGCTCAAGTTTTGGCTTATTGCAGGCTGAGCTGTGAACAAAAAGAATAATATTGACTGTATGACCTCAGAAAGGCTCTGAATTGGGAGAAAGGGAAAGGAGGGACAAAGAAAACATGTCTCCCTTACAGCTGGTAGCCTAGTTGTAATGAAAGTAGGATAAAGTTCATGTGAGTGGTCAGAGAGAGAATGCTGGCAATAACAGAAACAAATTGCTTCCTGCAGAAAATGGCTAGTTAAAACCATGTGAACCGCTGCAAAAATACAATTATTGCATCTGTGATATGCCACCCAGAACAAGAATAAAGGGTACAGAAGTCTGGAGGACCAAGTCAGTTAGCTTCCTCTCCCTCAACAATAATCTCAGATACCTTTGTAAAAAGGATTCCTTTCATAAGAACATAAGAAAAGCCATGTTGGATCAGGCCAATGGCCCATCCAGTCCAACACTCTGTGTCACACAGTGGCCAAAACCCAGGTGCCATTAGGAGGTCCACCATCGGGACTAGAACTCCAGAAGACCTCCCACTGTTACCCCCCCAAGCATCAAGAATATAGAGCATCACTGTCCTAGTTCCATATACCTTGTGGCTAATAGCCACTAATGGACTTCTGCTCCATACATTCATCCAGTCCTCTACTGAAGCTCTCTATGCTTGTAGCCACCACCACTTCCTGTGGCAGAGAATTCCACATGCTAATTACTCTTTGGGTGAAGAAGTACTTCCTTTTATCTGTTCTAAGTCTACTGCTCATTAATTTCATTCTGCCCACAAGTTCTTGTATTGTGAGAAAGGGAGGAAAGTACTTTTTTCTCTACCTTCTTTATCCCATGCATAATTTTGTTACCCCTCTATCCCATAAGTAATTTTTGTCACCCCTCAATTGTCATTTTAGCTTGGAGCCCTAGCCTTTTTAACCTTTCTTCATAAGGAAGCTGTTCCATCCCCTTAGTCATTTTAGTTGCCCTTTTCTGCACCTTCTTCAATGCTATAATGTCCTTTTTGAGGTGCGGTGACCAGAACTGCATGTAGTATTCCAAATGAGGCTGCACCACAGATTTATACAGGGGTGTTAAGATACTGGCTGATTTGTAATTCCCAGCATAGCATTTGCCTTTTTATTGCAGTAGTACACTGAGTAGACATTGTCAGGACTCCAAGGTCCCTCTTCTGGTCAGTTACTGCCAGTTTGGACTCCATCAACATATATTTATAGTTAGGATTATTGGCTACAGTGTGCATTACTTTGCACTTGCCCAAACTGAATTTGCCATGTTGATGCCCACTCGCCCAGCCTCAACAGATTCCTCTGGAGCAAACTCAGCCACTTCACTGCTTACTCCCAACTCCAAATCATTAATGAACAAACTAAAAAGCAACAGACCTAGTACCGAGCCCTGCAGTACCCCACTGCTTACCACCTTCCACTGTGAAAACTGCCCATTTATATTCACTCTTTGTTTCCTGTTAATTTATCAGTTTTTAATCCACAAAGAACTTGTCCTCTTATTCCATGACTGCTGAGTTTACTTAGGAACCTTTGATAAGAATCTTTATCAAAAGCTTTCTGGAAGTCTAGGTAAACAATATCTACTGGGTCACCCTTTTCTATGTTTATTCACTCCCTCAAAGAACTCTAAAAGGTTAGTGAGACAAGATCTTCCCCTACAGAATCCATGCTGATTCATCATCAATAGCTTTTGTTCATCAATGAAAAAGAAGAAGAGAAGAGATTGGATTTCTACCCCACCCTTCACTACCCAAAAGTGTCTCAGAGCGGCTTACAAACTCCTTTCCCTTCTCTTCCCCACAACAGACACCCTGTGAGGTAGGTGGGGCTGAGAGAGCTCTGACAGAAACTGCTCTTTTTCAAGAACAGCTCTTATCAGAGCTACAGCTTGCCCAAGGTCATCCACCCAGGTGCAAGTGGAGGAGTAGGGAATCAAACCCGGTTCTACAAGATTAGAGTCCATGCATTTTTTGTCAGAAGATTCACAAGTTCACATTTGATTTTTTTTCAGAACTCTTGAATGTATGCCATCTGGACCTGGTAATTTGTCAGTTTCTTATTTGTGCATCAGGCATAAGGCCTCCTCTCTCATCATCTCAATCCGGCTAAGGTCTTTCTTCACCCCTCCTGAAATCAGCGGTTCTGAAGTGGGCAAGCACCTCCCATCTTCCACAGTGAAGACAGCGGCCAAAAATGCATTCAGCTTCTCTGCCATTTCCCTGTCATCCTTCAGTAATCCTTTTACCCCTCGGTTATCCAATGGCCCCACTGCCTCCCTGGCTGGTGTTCTGCTTCTAATGCATTTGAAGAAATTTTTATTGTTGGTCTTTATGTTTTTTGCAATATGTTCCTCATAGTCCCTTTTTTCCTGTCTGATCACTGACTTGCATTTTATTTGCCACAGCCTCCGAGCCCTTTTATTTACCTCACTCAGACTAGCCTTCCACCTCTTAAAGGAATCCTTCTTACATTTTACTGCTTCCATTAGTTTGTTCATTAACCATGAAGACCTTTTTTATACCTATTCGTACCTTTCCTAACCTGCGGTATACACTGTATCTGAGCTTCCAGTATTGTAGTTTTACACAGCCTCCAAGCTTCCTAAAGGGATTTGACCCTCCTTGACTTTCCTTTCGGTTTCTTTTTCACAAGCCTCCTCATTTGAGAGAAGTTACCCCTTTTCTAAAATTGAATGTGACTGGACAGAGAAGGAAAGGGGGCTTTTTGTGTGTGTTCTCTAGCTCGCCCCCTTTTTCTTCTCTGCAATTTAATTTAAATTTCTCTGCTTTCTTCCTTGTCCAACTTTTCCATTTGTTTTAAAGCTGTTCCGACTTTCCTCTTGAAAGATGGTAGCATTCCCTGACTACTGGTTTAAAAATTACAGGACCGAAAACAGGGAGGTGTAGTTGTTTGTGTTAAGTCGCTCGCTTAACAAAGAAGTTGGAGAGTGATTCAGCACGAACTCAACTTTATTCTTCCACTCGAACACAACTCCAACACAGATCAACATCTGATAGTCAGAACAGCCTTTACATTGCAGCTGTCCTGCTTTTAAACATTCCCGGATAATGTAGCCACACCCACTGTACAAATACCAACCAATAAGGTTGTTCACATAAGGACCAATTATGGATGTTCCCGCTCAGGGAGCTTGTTAGAAGGTGATTGGTTAGGTGCATCCTGGGCTAGTAACACGATTGGATGGATTTGGATCCTAGCCCAGGACGAAGCTTTACATTACATTCCAATTAGATGTTTCACGACGTATCATGCATTCAAGGCAGCTTTGAACACACTACAGTTTGGAATTCAGTGTAATTTAGAGGGGGTTGCACAGCTTTTGACTGGGCAAGCTGAAGGGCAGAATGCTGCAGGGACAAAGCCAAATCTTTGCCACTGTTCAATCACATATCCATGTATTATATTTTTATAGCCGTCTCTTATTTGCTTAGCCACTTTATTCGTGTACGTTCTACATTGTGCTCTCATAAACCAGGGTAATTTGTTTTATTTACACTTGTTAGCCTGCGTTTTCTTACTAGTTAAGCCTTAAGAGCATACAATAAAAACATAAGAGACACCAATGTTGGATCAGGCCAAAGGCCCATCCAGTCCAACACTCTGTATCACACAGTGGCCAGAAATACCAGGTGCCATCAGGAGCAGTGCCAGTGGGGCCAGGACATTAGAAGCCCTCCCACTGTTGACCCCCCCCAAGCACCAAGAAGACAGAGCATCACTTGCCCCAGAGTCCCTATCTATACCTTGTGGCCAGTGTTCCCTCTAAGCTGAGTTAGTGTGAGCTAGCTCACGGTTTTGTAGCCTCCGGCTCACAGATTTTTGTCTCCGCTCAGGAAGGATGGCTCCAGTGCAAACTAATTTATGCAGCAGCCAAATTGCTCACTCACAACTTTAATGCCAGCAGCTCACAAAGTAGAATTTTTGCTCACAAGACTCCACAGCTTAGAGGGAACATTGCTTGTGGCTAATAGCCACTGATGGCTCCATATGCTTATCTAATTCCCTTTTGAAGCACTCACTGGAGTGCTAAAGGTGCTATGCCAGAAAGCACTGGGAGATAAAGCAAACTGTTTTCCACTGGGAGTTTATGTATTTCCCTAGGGCACGGCGAAACAGATGCACAAGTTTACTTTCCTAGACAGGCATGAAAAACACAAGTCAATAGACTTGTATTTTCCTCTCAGTTTCTGGCATATGCAAAAAAGCTGTCTGAAACAGTTGCCCTCTCCTTCAAGTTCTTCCAGATACTCTGAGGAGAGGCTACACCTCTCCTTCAAGTTCTTCCAGATACTCTATATATAATCCACAGTTTATTCCTGCACTACCTCCCACATCCCACTTTTTGCCTTGCTTACCTTCTACTGTGAATTTGTAAGCAGCACAGGCTGTGGCCAGGTTCAACCCTGACAGTCTGCTGTTGTTGGGAGACCACCTCTGAGCTCCCGCACAATTTTATGACCCCAATTCTCACACCAGTGATCTTGCCTCCTTACACTGCTGTTGGCTGTGCTGTTCTGCTCTTCCTACTTTCCCACAAGTGTACCGTAACCCCTGTTTTGCCTTTGTGATTCCTCCTCCTCCCATAGACTCCAGTCCATAAGACGCTGCAGCAGTGGAGGATGCCCTGCCGATGGTCACTGGTCACCTTCCCCCCCCCATTTCCAAACACTATCTGAACAACTGGGCATATAATTTAAAAAATTGATACAATATGATTTCACTGAAAGAGAAGCTGGTCACTCTCTTTAACCCAGACCATCTCCCCAGTAGACAGCCAATCTCAACTACTGGAACTTTTCATGCAAAAGGGACAACTTGTGGTGATAATCGAGTGGTAAGTAAACAAACAGTAGCAAGTTTAAAGACTTATCTATTTATTCAGTTCAACCAAATTACATTGGAATGAAAGCATATTTTCAGACCTGGTGTAGGATAATGGTTAAGTCTCCATTCAACTCTGCTGAGCCATGAACTTGCTTACTTTTGCCGACCTGCTTTCTCTCCGCCTCAGTTCTATCCACTTCTTTATTGATAACAGAAAGGTAATAACACTAGCTTCCGTGCACCTTGGTGTTTAGTCATGCCAGCCACATGACCACGGAAATGACTTCGGACAGCGCTGGCTCTTCGGCTTTGAAACGGAGATGAGCACTGCAACCTTAGAGTCGGACTCGACTGGCTTTCAAGCAAGGGGACCTTTACCTTTACTTTACCTTTACATTAATAGGTCCACTTACCAAACCTTGTTATGAAATAAGAAGTTGTTTACCTGATTACCACATCATAGGAATCAATTGTCTCTCCTAGGCTCTTGTTTCGAAGGACACCTCCATTGCCAACAACAACACATTTTTTGCAAGGGGAACTGCTGAAACAAGGAGATAAGAAATGATCGAAGTCTTGAGTGTGGGAGTACATGACCTTGGGGGGAAATTAAATAAAGTCCACTAACAGCATTGCTAGCATGAATACATGAAGCAGACAGGCTGACAAGAGATGAAAGAGGTAACATTTTACAGATGGAGACAATAACCAGTCTGTTGCTGGAGATAAAGACTGCTGGATACAGGCTGCATTTTTAAGGAATTAAGCTTAAGTTTCTTTGTCAAGGGTATATTTGGGAGCCAGACTACACATTACACAAAGCCCTGCTGCGGATATTTTGCTTTCAATTGCAATTTCTGAAACTGTTTTTCAAGCTTCAAAAAAAAACCAAAAAAAACCCCATTGAACCAAAAAGCTTCATGCACTGGAACTGGAGCCTCACTGTGTATAGAGTTAGAAAAATGGCTTCAGACTATATTTCACTTTAGGGGCTGTGGACACACAGTTAAGAACTAAGTTATATAACTGTGGCCCCTCATCCTTTGGATGCTCCAAAATATATAAGCATTTGTATAGAGTGTCCCTCTCAGGCAATATAGCGAGCCTTAATTTAGCTAGCCCAGACAGACTCTCTTTAATTCTTGTAGGTGTCTATTTGTAAGCCATCTTCTCACTCCTTTCTGGATGGATGGGTGGCTATTAATAAAAATCACACCTCATATATTTAGGCTTAGATGCCTCTTCCTGTACACAGCTTGTGATATAAAATCCACTTCTCCATGCTGCAATTCCACACTTGCAGGGAGCCAAGTATAAACATCATAGCCACAAACTGTTACTTTTTTGTATTAGTGTTGATTGGTAATTCATGTGATTTTAACATTTGTTGTTAATTGCATTGGACATCTTAGTTGAAATATTATTAATATCTTAATAAACAGAACAGTTTGTGGACAAACAGTGATGGGCAGGGGAAAAGCAAACCACATCAGTCAATTAATCTAGTCAATTTAATGGTTTGCCCTAAGAGCCATAAGGTAGGTGGTTTGTCCTAAAGAGCATGTGGCCATAGCAGAGCACCTGCTTTGCATGATGAAGGGCTCAGCTTTAAGACTATAGAATGACCAAGAACATGACTTCCTATATGGAAACTGGGCAACTAAGCAAAAGTATAAGTTAGGCTTTTAAATACAAGAATTGGAGTTGAAAGAATGATTCAGGTGAGTAGCTGTGTTGGTCTGAAGCAGCAGAACAAAGTTTGAGTCTAGTGGCACCTTTAAGGCCAAGTTTTATTCAAGGTATAAGCATTTGTATGCACACACACACTGAAAAAATGTGCATGCACACAAAAGTTTATACCTTGAATAAAACTTAGTTGGTCTTAAAGGTGCCACTGGACATGAACTTTGTTCAGTTGGAAGCATAATATCTATTAAATAGCAAATTTTCCTTTTATAAAACCCAAGTGTGACCTAGGTGTTAATCTGGTTTTGTCAACTTGCCAAACCCTAAAGAGTCCCTCAGCTGGTTTATTCCAGGTTCAGCCATAATGAACAAAATGGATCCTATTCAGTGGGAAAAGTCTGCCTCTGCAGCTTTCCTAAAACAGCTGTGAAAGCAGCTGTGAACTGTGTCAGGGACCCTGGATGAAAACATGGATGACATCAGTAGCAAGGCTGCGGCACACCTCTAGTAAACCCTGAGCTCAGTGATAAAGAGGGCACCTGATTAAGTGCAAAATACTGGGCACATTGTCCCCCAAAGTAAAATAGGGTAAAAGGAAAAACAAATATGGAAAAATTGTCCCTGTGCTTCTGTCCCTACCCTCAGATCAGGGGGAAAGTACAGCTGGTATTGTATAGGTGTTGAGGATGGGCTCATAAATAAAGTAAATAACGGAGGACTATAAAGTAAATCAATTTCCTTGTTCCAGGGGCCAATCCTCTGTCAGCTACCTATAGAAACTGCTTCTGAACCTATAGGACCTAACTTTAAAGTTGGTAGATTGGTAGACTTAGGAGGGCAGAGTGCTAGAAACAGAACTGAACGTACTTGACTATTACACCTCAAGCACTCTGTGGATGGGACTTTTTCAATTTTTGCAATTCTGTCTGGTATTAAATACCATATGTATTTAATATGTTTTCTCTTATACTTATGTACAGAGAACCTTTCATAATGTCCTTGAGCAGGTTAAGCCTTGCATCTCTTGAGATGTTAATTAACAAATCAGTCCTGATTCTATCCAAGGTCTAAACATTCCCCTACATGTTCTTAAGCTTCCTCAACTCCTGTAGTGAAGATCCCTTCCTCAATCTCCCACCATGTATGCTGAGGTCCATTATATTTCTCCTACAACCTAGCAGCTCCTCAAAGGCACCTACTGGTTGGACAAATCAAGCCTCTGAGGTTCTTTTAGTTCTTCAGATTTCTGTAACTGGCATGCCCAGACTGTATTATAAGCAAAGGAATAATTCAGGGGTTACTATTATTTTCAGAAACGGACAAATGAACAATGTGCTGTATGTACAAACCATTTCTGTGCAAATTTCACTTGATGTTTCACTAGCCAACATAAATATACAAGATTTAACATGCATATTTGTGGTGAAGCACAGTATTCTTACGTTTGTATTGTTGAGAAACACATTATTTGTCTGGGGTTGCACTGTAAGTTGCGAAAAGCAGACAAGAGCAAATACTATATGGCAGCTTCTCAAAGCAAATAGTAATGGTTGGAATGCAGCATGTAATCTATCTGGGCCACAACTTACACCACAAAGACACAACCTTCTTCATATCAATTCCCTAGTAACAGCAAAACAATGCTGCATTGGCTTTTGCTGTGCTTAACCCCTTCATTTCACTCCAGAGCACTTTTTCTTCCTGATCCACCAGTGGAATTTGGATATATATTTTCCTCTGAAGTTGAATTTTAACGTAAATTAACCTTGTCTGTATTATAAATTGAGCCTTTTTTACATAGATGCATAAATAGGTTCTTTGTTCAAAGCCTGCAACTCAAGAATAACCTAACAGGTTTTGCTAAAAACAAATAATTTCTTCTGCATAAAACGTATTAGTGAAGTCAGCATCAATCTGCATGTGCAATTCAGCTGAACTCTGCAATGAGCAATTCTGTTATCATAAATCACATTTTTAATCAGTGTACTGATCCCAGCTAAAATAGTGAAAGTTGCACCAACCCCAAAGACACTGCATACCAATTCATAAATTAATTAAGACAAACCACCTCACCCATCATCTTCACCAAACAGCTCACAGTTCTGCAGTCTTGAAAGTGCCAGTTGAAAATACCTTTCTGTAAAATACATTTAAAAACATTTTAAACTATTAAAACTAGCACTTTGTTGACAAGAGTCAACAAAACTTCCTTGACTGCATTTACTTAAGTACAGAGGGTTGAAAGCAATTCAGAACCCAGTGTTGGGATTTTTCTTCCTTTTTCACAGCTAACAGGAAAGTCTGCCTGAGGCCATTTACGCTGAGTCTACTACACTGTATAGAAACAAACCCTTACTGACCCATGGTCTGGCAATAATAATTTGAACACCAGAATGAATGCAAAATTATAGAGCCTCCCATGATTTCATATTAATTGATGGAAAGGTCTAGAAAAAGAACTGAAAGGTCTGGAAGGAGAACTGAGAAGCAAGATATGATTTTGCACACACCGAGGGCTGCTGAGCATTTTCTTTAATGTATTTCTGACAGATATTCTCCAAATATGCCTGGAGTCAACTCTGCATTACTTTTGCAAAAATGCAATTCATGCCCATCCCTAGACGTAAGCCAAGCAGAAACCCACAAAGATTTGCAGGTGAATTTCCCTCTCCTCCACTGTTACCTCTTCCTTCCTTGAGAGCCCCCACAGCGTCTCCCCATTTCTTGTCTCCTCTGCTTCCCATCCACCAGCCAACTTACCTTTATCTTCTCCAGATCTTCAAGTTTCTGTCTACCCTCCCCCTGGCACCCTTTACTCAAGGAAAACTGTGTTCTAATTGCACCATGCCAGTTGTCAGAGTGCGCCCAGTTGCACAATGGGGAACCTTCAAGGATTTGCAAAGGGCACCCATTTTTCCTGGACTCAACTTCCCCACACTATTTCCTCTTTCCTTTCACCTGGCACCCCCATATCCTCAACCTTCTTTGCTTCCTTTGTCTTTCCCACCTCGCCACCAACCTTTTATCTACCCCTACATCTTCAGCTGTATTTTTTTATTTATTAACGTCATCTATAGCCCATCTTTCAAAACACTTTACTTCATTCTCCTCTCCTCTCCTCTACTCTATTTTATCCTCAGAACAACCCTGTAAGCCAGGGGTGTCAAACATGCGGCCCGGGGGCTGAATCAGGCCCCCAGAGGGCTTCTATCAGGCCCGCAGTGAAACTGGCTGTCTTCTGCTTCTTCTTCCAGTTCTGCTGCTGCAGCATCATTGTAGGTTTGCAGCTTACAGATACACACCTGAACAACATACTCAAGATTCCAATAGCACAGACATTTTGATGCAATAATTCAGAGCAAGAGGTGTCAGTTATCAGACACTGTTAAATAAACAAAATATTGCAAGAGTGCTAATGTTTTAAGCATATTTTTATTTTAAGTGAAAAAAAATCCTTTGTGTTTGTGTCCTTTATGAAGTTTATATCTCCACTACCTGGCATTACATTTTATGACACACATGGCCTGGCCCAACAAGGTCTCATTTATGTCAGATCTGGCCCGCATAATAAATGAGTTCGACACCCCTGCTGTAAGCAGTGGCAGATGGGGAGTGAAAAACCCTGGGAAAGGGCCCCTCCCCCAGCCTGCCCTGGCCTCACCCCCAAAGGAGAGAGGGAGAGTGGAAGAGGTAGTCTGCATAACCCTGAACCTCCATCCAAAAAAGGGGAGGAAAGTACGGAAAAGAGGCAGCCTGCCTAACCAACTGGCCAGGTACTGCTTTTCTCATCTCAAGCAGGTCTTAGGTAGATCAGGCACTGCTTCCCTCAT